GACATTTTAGAAGGATGGAGCATTATTCTGCCCACTACAAAAGGTTGTGTTTAAGATCCCACTGTCTGACCATTACCTCCCATCTCTCCAGTACATTCCCTCTCACACTCTAATTCCACAATCCTTTGAGCCCTTGTGGGACATTCACTTCATCGATTCTACCACTTTTTCACTGTTCCTCATTTCTTTGATATCCTCCTTTCCCTCCGTATCAAATTGAATTCCATGGGTTGTCATTACAATGCCTCTTTTATGTACACCTTGTACTCCCTTGCCCCTCTTTATCGTACTCACTTGGCAAAGCCTCAATGCTGGTTAACCCAACTCTCCTGCTAGTCTGTCTTTGTCCTCATGTAGCTGATCATGGCTAGAGGAAAACGCAGCCTTGCTGACCAGTCTCCTGTTCAAGTCCATGACCACGCATTTCAAATGGTCCCTTAATGTTGCCTGTTAATCACATGCTACTGTCCTACTCCATTCACTTTCCTGCTTTCCTAGAAGACTCTTCTGTGCCTTCTCTCTTCCCAGTCCTCTTACATCTACTTTTCCATCCTCACCCTTGGGTCGTGACTTGACTCTTTCTTCACTGAGAAATGCAAAGCAAGGAGAGAGCCCCACAGATTCCCATGCCTATCTCCCCACCTGTCAGCTTCGGTCCTCACACTCTGCCTTCCTCCTATAGGGTCTGTGGACTGAATCCAGGGGGTTGTGATCTTACAGGTGGGAATGTGTCTTTATTTCCAATAACTTTTATCTGCAATCTAGCATTTCCTTTGACTATGAATGTAGTAAAAAAATGCAATAGCATTGGTGGTACCTATGGTTTGGCTGCTGTAGACCTCACAAAAGTATGAAACAATGTTTTTAGATATCATGGAACATGATGCACATGTATCACTACTTTGAAATTATGGTAGTTATTAGACCCACCACTAGATCTTATGTATAGCATTAATAAAGAAACACATGCATTAATATATCACAGATTTGATTTTTAAATGATTTAATAACTGTGTTTCAATATAACACAGTTATATATATATATATAACTAGTTATATATAATTAATAATATATATAACTAATAATATAATTAGTTGTCTTTGTACTCCTATGTATTTTATGCATTTGAAAAGATTATTCTGAGAAGCTTCCAGAGATTTTACCCATCAAAAGATTTATGGTACAGATGAAGGTTAAGAATTCCTTCTGCAGATGAGCTGTCTGTCCTCCTGTCTAAAGCCAGTCCCTCTATTTGCACACTAGATACCTTCTCCTGTCACCCACTGTGCCAAATGTCCTCCTTTTTCCCCTCCAGATCTATTTCCTACCTTCTGCTCTCTGCTCTGGGCCCTGGAGCTGATCTCTTTGGATAGTACAAACCCACCAACCAAGTTTCCTTGTATTCTGACTTCTGCTTGGGCTCACACGATGGGAGTCACCAGCAGGACACAGAAGGGTAGAGGAGGGAGAGGTTGGGCTATTTATCTTCAATCCCTTTGCAGAACCTGGGGTTGCCAGAAGCTCTGCTCCAGCTTTGGTTGGGCAACCCTTTCCTATTGCTAGATCTCCCTGTCTGGATTCAGCTAACTGCCCCTGATTTTGCTCCTTCACCTCTTACTGTGATGAGCACCACACAATTCACCACCCCATGGGAGCTTTCCTTAAGTCAGCCCACACCTCTGTAATAATCTCTTCAGTCTTTTGGTGTGCTATCTGCTCCTTGCCATGACCCTCACTACTACACGGACTCAAGGAAATGGCCCCAGCAGCTCTCCCAGCTCGAAGTTCATTCCCATCAAGAAAGCCTTCTCTCAGCCCACTTGCCCTGACAGTACCAATTTCTTGATAGCCAAACCCACTGTCTCCAATTCTTCTCCTCTAATTCACTCTACCACACACTTCAGTCAGGCTTTTGCTTCCTCTACCCCACTGAAACTGCCCGTCAAAGTCATCGATGATCTTCAAAGGGTTAATAATTTAATATGCAACACTAATCTGTTTCTAACATGTAGTTTACTAATTTATCAGGTATATTAATTATTGTCTCTTTCCTAGAACATAAGCTCCTCAAGCCTGGGGATTTTTGTTCATTTAGTTCTTTGGTGTTTCTTTTTTTTTTTTTTCTTTTTGTCTTTTTTCGTGACTGGCAACAGATCGCAACCCTCAGTGTCGCGCCCGTACTGGGCCGGGACCGGCAACGGGATCACAACCCT